ATCATCCGCGCAGGCCCGCCACGCCCCGCGGTTCTCCTTGCAGATGGAGCGGTCGAAATGTTCCACGAAAGGGGTCCGCCGACAGCGCGAAGGCACAGCCCGAGCCGGGGCATCCTTGGATGACCCCGCGCAGGATCCAGAACCAGAGAGTAGCTTCCGATGAAATCGTTCCGTACCAGCAGACACCAGAGAGCAGAAAGCGCAAGGAAGTCTTGAGAGGGCACGGGAGGAGCATGGCACCAAAGGCTCGGATGATCCAGTGATCCAGTCGCGCGCGAGACTGAGCAAGGCCTGACCAACATCAAATCCCACAGAGAAAGGTATCGCTGCGGAAACCGTCATCTGCATGGAGTAACATCGACTGTAGGCATCTGGTTCGGCGATGTTGTTGCCGAAGTTCCTCGTGCTAGCGAACCCCCTCTGGATCCCGTCGACGGTCGCGGCTAACTGTTGCTCAGCTGTTTGAAGGCAACACCCGCGATAATCTTGTTATCCGTATCCTTCAAGCCGAAGGGGCGAAGATCGGTCACATGTCGGGCGACTCCTTGCGGGGCATCTTCGGGGTCCTCACCCTTGGGCACAATATTCCGAGCATATCATTGTATCCAAGAGGCATATGATTTCCATCTGGTTGCCACCAGAGTGCACCATAGATGACCCGGGAGCCAATTGGGGAGGCCTGCCACGCGGCGTAAGGTAGAGCGCCAAGACCAGGAGCCGAATGTGTTCGTCGGTCAACATAAACTTGAACATCGTGTAGGCGTGGAGGGGGAACGTCGACAGGGGGGCGACGTTCGCGAGACGAACGAGGGAGGCATCAGCAGTATTAGTGTCTACGTATTTCTCTTCAAAGACCTGGCCCCAATGCTCGGTGATCTTACGTGAAATGGACGTAGAGGAGGTGGGAATGCTTCCATCCGTGCGAAGCCCCGCGAGCTTGACGGCGCGGTCGAATGGTGCCTACAGCCTGCTGCGATCAGCCAGCAGGCGCATACGCTTACGTGCTCGAGCCTGCACCCGCAGATCAGGAGACTGTAGATCACCCCGAGCGTCACGCATCTGCTCCTCCGCATCTTCAAATTGGAGGGAGTCGAGCGCAGCGGCAAAAGAAGCAGGATGAATAAGGGAGACCACCTGCGTGTCAGGATCGACGTGCAAGTGTTCTCGTGCCAGATCGTATCAGAACAATCGGCGAGCGAGAACCATATCTTGTCGCCACACAACTCTGGCCACTGAGCGAAGGAGGAGGACGGGACGTCATCGTTGTCGGCTCTTTCGTGAAGAGGGCGTTCAGTGCGTAGCGGGCTGCTTCCTTCATCGTCGCCTTGTATAGTCGTAATCTCATGGAGGGGGTTCGTCGTCGAGAGGTCCAGAGACTTCTTAAACTCCTCCAGCAACTTCCGAAAGTCGAGGTGGCGGAAGATGACCTTCGGTATGGGCCGATCACCGGAAGGTTGGGGAGGACGATGTCGGAACGCGACCTGCACCGGAGCGTTGTCAGAAATCCCGCGCTACTCCAATGTTCCAGGCGTGTCTTTGACAGACGCGGAGACGTGCATTTGCGTGAGGACCCAGCTGGGGACGCCGAGGAAGACCCTATCTATCTTCGATTAGTGCTGGTGCGTGCCAGTGTGGTGTGTTTCATCTGCAGAAACCTCTGGGAACTTCCGGAAGCGCGGGTGCCAGGGGGAACGACGATGACGACGCCATTCTTCAAGAGCATGTGAGGCCTCAAGAGATTCAGGGGGGACAGCAGGCCTCGGAGACTCTGACACGAGATTGAAGTCACCCTCCAGGACCACACAGTACGTAGCACCCCGCAATTGCGGATAAGAGTGAGGGAGCGGGCGCGGGCGACGCGGGCGTCGAGCCGGCGGACCTCGTGGCTCTCACGAATGCAAAAGAAGCCCGCCGCAGGCGCCGAAAATTTTGGGTGGGTCGCGGGGTGGGTCGCGGCTGGGTCGCGGGTGGGTCGCGGTGGGTCGCGGGTGGGTCGCCGGTGGGTCGCGGGCGGGTCGCAGGGTGGGTCTCGGGCGAGTCTCGGCTGGGTCGCCGAAGCAAAAGAAATCCGCCGCAGGCGCCGAAATTTTGGCTTGCTCAGTGATCGTAGTTTGGGTCGCGGGTGGGTCGTGGGCTCCCCGCCTCCACGTGGAAGGGATTCACAAACAGCCCGCCGCAGGCGCCGAAAATTTTGATTTGTACACTGAACGCGGTTTGGGTCGCGGGTGGGTCGCAGGTTCTCCACATGGAACTACCTGGAACGAATGCAAAAGAAGCCCGCCGCAGGCGCCGAAAATTTTGGGTGGGTCGCGGGGTTGGTCGCGGGTGGGTCGCGGGTGGGTCGCGGTGGGTCGCGGGTGGGTCGCCGGTGGGTCTCGGCTGGGTCGCGGGTGGGTCGCAGGTGGGTCGCGGGTGGGTCGCCAGTGGGTCGCGCGCGGGTCGCCGCGGGGGTCTCGGGGTGGGTCTCGGCTGGGTCGCGGGTGGGTCGTGGGTGGGTCGCGGGTGGGTCGCGGGTGGGTCGCAGGGTGGGGGTGGGTCGCGGGTGGGTCGCGGGTGGGTCGCGGGCGGGTCGCGGGGCGGGTCGCGGGTGGGACGACGACAAAAGCAGACAACAACAAAAACAAAAACAAAAACAATAACAAAAACAAAAACAACAACAACAACAACAACAACAACAACAACAACAACAACAACCATAACAACAACAACAACCATAACAACACCAACAACAACAACACCACCACCACCAACAACAAAACAACAACAACAACAACACCAACAACACCAACAACAGCAACAACAGCAACAACAGCAACAACAGCAACAAAAACAACAACAAAAACAACAACAACAACAACAACAACAACAACAATAATCCGCATCGCGGACTTCCACTTCAGCCACGCACCCAGGGACAGTGAATGACCGTTCTGTTCAGCCCCCGCACTCTGATCGATCAGGGAACCTCTGAGCAATACTTAGATGACGAGAAATCGACTGGAATACCGAATTCCGCTGCTCCCGAGAAAGCCCAAACTTGTGTATGTTGTAGTGCTGTAAGAGGACGTGCTCGGTGCCGTTCGGGGTCGTGCCTAAATCAAGCTCCGTGAGTAGTACCCGCCCAAGGACAATAACCTCAGGAGACACCGAAGTACCCGCGCCAGACTACGAGGATTGCTGAGGAAAGAACGTTATGACGCCGCCGCGGCGGCTGTGAAGGCCATCGAAGGAGACCCGAAACTCGAAACCAGAGTTCGACATGTGCGCGAAATCCGTCGCGTCATCCACGGCCCCATGGGTTTCCTGCACCGCTACCAGGTTGAAGCCCTGGAGGAGAGGGGCCAGGTACTCCAGCTTTCTGGCTCGGGTCTCTGGGCGATAATGGAACAGCGCGCGGGCGTTCCACGAGAAAAGACCGAGGCTGCTTGCCGACTTCACGGTCGGCAGCTTCAGGACACGAAACGGCGTGCTAAAGAGACCGTTCCTCTGCTTCAATACCCTGGGAGAAGAACTGCTCGATGTTGGACGCGATGGTGGCCTTCGAGAGGCCGAGGGGGGCGAGGGCCTTCTCGTCGTATTCGACGAGGGGGGGTTCGTTCTGACGGGGCGTGACCTTGACGAAGGCCTTCCATTGGCATGAGATCTTGCCTGTGTTTCTGTCCGCGACAAAAGTTATGTCTGGAATCTGTTCCGAAAGAGTGCGCTTGATCTTCTTGAGGTCGAGCTCCCTACGAATTCGAGCCAGGTTCTTGTCGCCAGAGACGTAGAGCTCCACGTTCTGCCTCTGGGCCGGGAAAGCGGAGAAACGCCTGAAGGAGCCGTCCGTGAGCTTAACATTGTTGAGAGCCTGCGAGACCACTCCTGCCGCCCAGCCATGGGCGCCTTTGACCTGGACCGTGAAACGTGCACCTGCGGGCTCACCCTCGACCTTCCAGGCGTCGGGTTCGAAGTTGGAGGCGGGCAGCCAGTCAGCACGGCCCTCGCACACAGCCTCGCGGCTGACGAGAGCGGCAGGGCGGACGACCAGGATGGTAGGGTCCGTCTTGCGGTGGAAGGCGGCCGAGGGGGCCACAGCGGGGGGCTCCTCCGTGCGGACCAGCTGGAGTAAGTCCTGCAGCTGCTGGATCTCCTGGGCCATGGAGTCCATGCGGGCGTCGTGGGCATCGAGGCGGCGCTCCGTGGCGCCGGTGCGGGAGTCTAGTTGCTGCTCGAGGCTCGCGCAGTGCTTGGTGAAAGTGTCCGTGAGGGAGGCAAGTCCCTTCTGTCCTTCTGCATGCTCTGCATAGAGGCCATGACCTCGGACTTTGTGTTATCAACGTACATTCTGAGCACCTCGACTTCAAACAGGTCATCTTGGGAGAAGACGGCATCACCAGCAGTTGCGCAGACTAAGAAGCCTGTGCGAGAGGACTGGGGTGCACCTGCCGAAGCGGCAGCAGCGGCGCCAGACTGGTGAGCAGGCGCAGGGTGTTGAACAGGATGGGAGGCCGCCAACCAGGAGCCCTTGCCTGAGGAGTGTTTGCCGTCAACGCGCTGGATCTTTGGCGGAGGCGTCGTCGCTGCTGCGCCCACAGTAGTCGAGCGCCCACCACGATCATCCAGAGCCATGGGGCCAGAGAACTGCCCGCAAGAGGCGCCTTGCTAGGGGAAACGAGATTGGCGCAGGGCCAAGCGAAAAGAAAGGGTGTCCGCCTGCGCTTGACGTACAGGATCGCTCGAATGGAGAGCTGCCCGCTCAGATGGGACCTGTTCCCACTTGAGCCATCATGGCAACGAACTCCTCCGGCTTCTCCTCCTCCTCCTCCTGCTCCCCCTCCTTCTCTTCATCCTTCACCCTCCACTCGACAAGACCAGAACAAACCAAATCAGTTGCGCCGACCAGACCAGACCTGACCGCACCATCCGGACCAGACGAGACCAGCTAAGACCAGACCATGATCCTCCTCCTCCTGCTCCTCCTCTTCCTCCTCCTGCGTTGAACCAGTCAGCAAGATTGCGACTCCCCCCAGATGGCGCTTCGGAAGCTCGAACGACGCGATTGACAGTGTCTACGCTGCCCGGTGGGTTGGCCCATACATCCACCGAGCAGTCCCACAACGACCGACCAGAGTGCACTGCACCCCGCGCCTGCCACGCCCTTGAAACAAGATTCCGCGCACGGACTTCGCAGCACGGATGGGTACGGATATTACTCGGCATTGCCCTCTTGCTGATGCGAAGTGAACCTGGCCATGCTGTCCGCTAGTTACCGCTAGGGAATATGAGTGAATCTCGAACACCATCCGTTTGCACGCCTTTCTGTAATCGTTTTCAGCTGGTCCCACTGGGGCTTGCCACAAGTCACGGCCTCCCGCGCCTGCCACGTTTGGGGCGAGAGGTGCCTGCGGGGCGCGCGGTCTCTCTCTCTCTCTCTCTGTGCCAACCTGCTGCGTGGCCCCATGTGGAGCTGCTGGAACGCATCACTCTCTTGTAGGTTCTGATGGTGCTGACGATGGTAAACCTTGAATGGTAGGAAGAAGATGAAGCCGAGACTAGCTGAAACTTGGCGCCGGCACTGGTAGGAGGAAGATGAAGCCTTCGCTGAGACGACGCGTGAGACGATGCTGGTGAGATGATCTCATCGTCCAAACGCGTGTGGGCCATGGTGTGCGCACTCAGCGGCCAGGCACGCAAGAGTAGCAGCAGTCGCCCTCCACGTGCCCCTCGGTGAAGCCCTGCCGCAAGCAACAACTACATTTTAAGTAGTCATCTGGAACACAACTGTTGCGGACACGGGGCATGACGAGCAATATGCGATGTTCACGCAGTGACGCATCATTATTGCTTTCGCCCACGGGTGCAAACACACACATATAGACATGCGCATGCATGTACACATGTACATATGCATCTGCACGTCAAGGTATATAGGTGTACATGTGTATACGCCCAAGAATCTGGCTGACATCGGCACGTCCCCCCCGACACGCAAACCGCAACGTCCGGCCTCGACGGTGTTCGACTGGCACTTTGGCCAGCGCCTTACAAGCACATCCATGGTGTGCGCATGTTTGTGCGCGTGTTTGTGCGCACGTGTTGATGTACGCATGTGTCTAATCAACGATACATGTATATATATATATATATGAAGTGTGTATACATGCACACGCGCACTCCCAAAGCAGCGCTTGACCTAAAGGGTTCTTCCTTGGCTCCCGAACGATTGGGCAAGCTCTCTCTCTCTCTCTGGGTTTTCGCGCGGTGCCTGCCCGTGGGCGCCTCGTGCCCGCCCTACGCGCTGCGCCCGTGGGCGCCTCGGGCTCCCCCGTATCCCGCCATCGCTCGGACGTCCATTCCCCGTGCAGTCTTCGATGTCGCGCGTGTTTTGTCGCAAGCGGATCCCAGAGGCTCCTCGGCGGTCCTCGCCGAGAATACATGCTCATGTCCGGGCGACGCCGAGGCATTCTGGCTGGGCTCTCCTCGCTTTCGGTTGGTGGGCGCCCGTGGGCGCCTCGTGGCCGCTCGCGCGCGCTGGCGGGGTTCTCCGGGTGCACGAGCAGTTTGCACTACATGCAGATTGCAGATTGCACCAAGTTTCAGCTAGATTGCACCACGTAGATTGCGCGTCATAGGCTGGCCGCGGCCACGATCCATTGTAATGACTCCATATGAGCTCGCGCTCCCGAGGCACGACCCCTCGTACAAAACAGCAAAGGGCCCGCGCTGTCGAGGCCACGACCCCTCGTAACCCAGAGTGGGTCTGTGCTCCGTAGGCCACGATGCCTCGTAGAAGCGATGGATTCACACCGAATGCCACAGGCTAAAGCCACAGGCTAATTACCGCTGGTCTCAGCCAAGCCCGCGGGCTAATACCACAGGCTCGGCTAATACAACAGGTCCGGCTGACACCGCAGGCTGATACCACAAGCTGATAACACAGACGCTTGGCGGAGCCAGGCCCGTGGGCTAAGACCACAGGCCCGGTTAATACCATAGGCGTATACCACAGGCTAATGCGACAAGCGAGTACCAAAAGCGAATACCTCAGGCTAACGACCGCTCGGCGGAGCCAGGCCCGCAGACGAATACCACAGGCGAGTACCACAAGCTCGGCCCATACCCTGTGGCTCATGCCACAGGCCAAGTATAGCTCCGCGGAGCCACCCCGCAGGCTAAGACTGCGAACTCGGCGGAATCGACAAGCGAATACCACCAGCAAATGACTGTTCGGCGGAGCCAAGCACGCAAGCTAATACCACAGGCTCGGCTAATACAGCCGGCCTCGCTAACACCGCAGGCTAACACCACAGGCTCCTCACACAGGCCAGTCGCCGCTCGGCGGAGACAGGCCCGCAGGCCAATCGCCGCTGGACGGAGCCAGGCACGCAGGCTAATGCCACAGACTCGGCGGAATACCCCAGGCTAACATCGCAGGCCAATATCACAAGCTGAAGGCTCGGCAGAATGCCACGAGCTATTACCACAGGCTAATTACCGCTCGGCGGAGCCAGACCCGCCAGCCAAGACCAGAAACTCGGCGGAGTACCAAAGGCGAATACCACAATCTAATACCACAAGCTGATAGCACAGGCGAAATACCGCTCGGCAGGACCAGGCCCGTAGGCTAACAACACAGGCTCGGCCGATACCACGGGCTGAGATCGCAGACGAATGTCACAAGCGAAATGCCGATCGGCGAAGCCAGGCCCGTGGGCTAATACCGCAGGCTCGGCTACTATCAACGGCTAGCACCACATGCTACTTACTGCTTGGCAAAGCCAGGCCCGCAGGCTGACACTGCAGTCCAGGCGGTGCCAAGCTGTTCGAGTCATTGACAGGGCGCGCATGCACCGCTTGGGCCAGCTGGGGTCAGCTGCACCACTTGGGCCAATTGGCTTCGTTGACCCAGTGCGATTGCACCACTTGGATCAGTTAGGTGTGTTGAGCGACTTGTGCCACTTGGGCAACTGACCCAAGTGACCCAAGTGGTGCAATCGATTATCGCAGCACCGCGCTCTTCTGACGCAACTGACCCGACTGACCCCAAGTGGTGCAATCGATTAAAACCCGATATTTCCGCCAGCGTAGGGCCCTGCGCTTTTGGACTTGAGTTTGGTTCCCAGTTTCGCCCCAGGAAACCCCAATATGTTTGGCAATCTGGTTTACAGAACTGCAAATTCGCCAGCCCAACGGGCCAGAAGCGTGCTAAGATCTCCGGAAACTGCTCAACAATAATTCTAGTTCGCGCGCGCGGGGCGGGCCCTGGGGGTCCCCGGACGAAAAAAAACCCGGCAAGGTCCCGGCAAGGTCCCGGCAGACTCCCGGCAGACTCCCAGCAGACGCCCGGCAAGGTCCCTTGTCGGAGCCCAGGAGGGCTCGAAACGGACCAAGAGAGGCCCGAGAAGCCCTCCAGACGGTCCAGGGGAGCCGGGAGACGCCGAAATATCACTCCCAAGCGCCTGCGATGGCCTCAAGACGGCCCAACAGGCCTTCAAGACGCCCCAAGAGGTCCCAAAGCGGCGCCCCAAGAGGGCTCCCACTAGCAAAAATCGTCCCATTCCCTTGGGAAAGCGTGTTTTTTTCACATATCCGCCTCTTCGTCTTTCACACCTTTCAAGGCGGTCCAAGAGGCCCCCAAGATCACCCCAAGACGGCCCGAGAGACCCTCAAGACCGCTCGAAGACGGCCCAAGAACGCTCCAAGAAGGCCCTCAAGAACTCTTTTTCGGAGCCCAGGAGGGCTCCAAATCGGTCCAAGAAGGGCCCGAGAAGCTTTCCAGACGGTCCAAAAGAGCCGGGAGACGCCGGAATATCACCCCCAAGCGCCTACGGTGGACTCAAGACGGCCCAACAGGCCTTCAAGACGCCCCAAGAGGTCCCTAAGAGGTCCCTAAGCGGCGTCCCGAAAGGGCTCCCACTAGCAAAAATCGTCCCATTCCCTTGGGAAAACATGCATTTTGTCCATATCCGCCTCTTCGTCTTTCACACCTTTCAAGGCAGCCCAAGAGGCCCCCAAGATCACCCCAAGACGGCCCGAGACACCCTCTAGACAGCTCAAGGACGGCCCAAGAGCGCTCCAAGAAGGCCCAAGAAACCCTCAAGAACTCTTTTTCGGAGCCCAGGAGGGCTCCAAATCGGTCCAAGAGGGGCACGAGAAGCCCTCCAGACGGTCCAAGAGAGCCGGGAGACGCCGACATACCACCCCCAAGCGCCTACGATGGCCTCAAAACGGCCCAACAGGCCTTCAAGACGCCCCAAAAAGTCCCTAAGCGGCGCCCCAAGAGGGCTCCCTCGTCTCTTCCTTGAGGTAACGTGCATTTTTCACATATCCGCCTCTTCGTCTTTCACACCTTTCAAGGCGGCCCAAGAGGCCCCCAAAATCACCCCAAGACGGCCCGAGAGACCCTCTAGACAGCACAAAGACGGCCCAAGAGCGCTCCAAGAAGGCCCAAGAAACCCTCAAGAACTTTTTTTCGGAGCCCAGGAAGGCTCCAAATCGGTCCAAGAGGGGCCCGAGAAGCTTTCCAGACGGTCCAAGAGAGCCGGGAGACGTCGGAATATCACTCCCAAGCGCCTACGGTGGACTCAAGACGGCCCAACAGGCCTTCAAGACGCCCCAAGAGGTCCCTAAGAGGTCCCTAAGCGGCGTCCCAAGAGGGCTCCCACTAGCAAAAATCGTCCCATTCCCTTGGGAAAGCGTGTTTTTTCACATATCCGCCTCTTCGTTTCTCACACCTTTCAAGGCGGCCCAAGAGGCCCCCAAGATCACCCCAAGACGGCCCGATACACCCTCTAGACAGCTCAAGGACGGCCCAAGAGCGCTCCAAGAAGGCCCAATAAACCCTCAAGAACTCTTTTTCGGAGCCCAGGAGGGCTCCAAATCGGTCCAAGAGGGGCCCGATAAGCTTTCCAGACGGTCCAAGAGAGCCGGACGACGCGGACATACCACCCCCAAACGCCTACGATGGCCTCAAGACGGCCCAACAGGCCTTCAAGACGCCCCAAGAGGTCCCTAAGCGGCGTCCCGAAAGGGCTCCCACAAGCAAAGATTGGCGCACTCCCTTCGGAAAGCGTGTATTTTTCATATCCGCCTCTTCGTTTCTCACACCATTCAAGGCGGTCCAAGGGGCCCCCGAGATCGCCCCAAGACGGCCCGAGAGACCCTCAAAACCGCTCAAAGACGGCCCAAGAGCGCTCCAAGAAGGCCCAAGAAACTCTCAAGACAGTCCCAGAAGCCCCAAGACGGCCCCATGATTGAAGTCCACCGGGGCAACCCGAACGGAAATTTGGAGTTTCCCGTCCAAACGCGCCCCCGAAAAGGCCCCATACAAGCCCCCGGAGCCCCCGATAGAGAGACCCAAGAGGCCCCCAACAGGCTGCAAGAAAGCCCCAAGAGGCCCCCAAGAGCCCCCCAGGAAACTCCCAGGAGGCCCCCAAGAGGCCAGGCAGACCCCCCAAAGAGACCACCAAGAGGGCCCACCCAGAACCATCCACGAGGCCTCCCAAAGTTCCCAAGAAGCTCCCACGAAGCTTCCAAGGGCTCCCAAGACCCCACGAGGCCTCCAAGAGCTCCCAAGAAACTTCCCAGAGGCCTCCAAGGGCTCCCAAGAGGGTCACAAGTACTCCTCCTGAGAAGCTCCTTGGCGTTCCCAGAAGAGACTCCCAGAAGCATCCATGAGCTCTCCGAGATGCCCCCTGCCCAGACCCCCAACACTCAGTTTTTGTCGCGTCCCTCG